TATCAAACAGCAGATGAAATTTATGACTTGAATTTTTTATCACAATTTTAGCAGAGAGGGGTCAAAGACTAAGCGCCTTATTATTTATACTCCGGAGGGCAAACACTGGTCAAGTCTACTCTCTCGACTCAATATATTTACTTCTCGTATATATAAATATAAAATCGGGAATATTATATATATAGTGCTTATATAGTATATAGAAAATAGTATATATATACAATATCTCGAGACTCAGTGCAAGCGTAAATCGAATAGAAAGTAAGAGGACTCATTGATCATTTATAATCTTCAACAAGAGACAAAGTACCAATCGTTTTGATGCGAGACACACATAAAAGGAGTTACTATATTATTTCTTCCACTGTTCATTAAATATTTTACACCAGTATTTTTATAATAGTTTTCTATATATGTGTACGAGAAACGTATTCTTTCATTATATATACTGGGTGGCAAATCAAACAAGAATCAGGTTCTCACGTGGGCGAATCGAGCGTGTCCTGATTTGCGAGATAATCTTATAGCAAAACCTGCGATTCCCTAGTCACGAGGGATTTATCAAACGAGTTTATCTCAGGCAAAAATATCGCTTTTCTGCTAAAGTTGATCACTTAATTTACCTCGGAGTTTTTCAAGGCAATAGATAAATGAAAAAAAATACATCTTCCTACTTACTTATCTTTAAAGGAGGAAAAAATATCCATCTTTCAACATTTTTAACGATCTCTTAATAGCGGTGTGTCATTAGGTGTCATGGCGCCGATATTTATCCGATTTCAAGAATTATTCTCATAAATACTTATCAAAAATGATGATCGTGAGATATTCCAAAATATTTTTATACCAAATTGAAGAAAAGGAAAAATTTAACTTTTAAACAAAATTTTTCTCGCCCCTCATATATAAAGAGTAAAGATCAGAGGAATTTGATCAGTTACATCGTTTCCTTGGGTGAAACTAGTCTAACCATCCAGTTTTTCCACTTTACACGCACTTCGCGGACTTCTTTGCGAGTGACTTGAAATTGCAACTCTGCAATAGAAACACATATATACACAGCTCATCCAAATCGGTAGCGCGACGATCAGGAATTTTTCAGGTCGCGTTCCAAGTTCCAACGAGACACAACTCTCAAATCCCGCAACTTGTTGCTTCAACCTGATATAACAAACCATTTGCGATATATCACCGCAAGGCCTTATTTACAACCTTATAACGTGATTGATGTCAGTACTTAAGATTTATATCTGGCGCTAAAAAATCTCACTTATATACAAAATAATAAAAGAAACCAAGCTCCTTGAATCCCCATCACCCCCACAAAAATATTAAAAAAAAAAAATTATTAAATTTTTTGTCGATGTTTTTATAATGAATTATTTACTGTATTATAACCATCAATTCAATAATTTCTTATTCACAGATAACGATATTCACTTTAGTTCCCAACCCTGAAAATAGGTTTCGACTCTATAACATTTTTTAGTCTATGGTCAATAAACATATGCTTGCATTTCCAGAAAGAGAATCAGATTCAATTATTGTAATCCAAAAATATCTATAATTACAGACTTGAATCTTCAATTTCAATATGACGAATGAGCAGTAATGTAAAAAATGAACAAATGTTTATTATTATTTTTCCTCTAAAATAAAAGAATATTGAAACATTTTCATCAATAAATAAAATAATTCAAGGTTTTCGTGTTCGTCTTTAATGATGAATGAGAATTGAAAACATTTCTTTATAGCAAATAATAATTGTAAAGTATTATTAATACTATAAATAATTCCTTTCCTATAATTAATACTATAAATAATTGTTAACTACAAATATTGTAGCTATAATAATTAATTTATTATTTTGCGAATCATTAAAACATTCATTTTACTTACTTCCCAACCCTGTTAACATTATGAGTCTGGCTATAATATTTTTTTAGTCTATGGTCAATATTAAAACATGTTAGATAGAGAATCTAAAGATTCTATGTTAGATAAATAATAGGAAATTTCTCATATATAGAATCAGATTCAATTATTGTAATCCGAAAGCAGAATGATAAATCATTAATTTAAATATGACGATTAAAATTGAATATTAAAAATTAACAAGTATTTATCACTATAGTTTTATCTAAAAATCTGAAAACCGTAAGAGTCATATCTTTAATGATAAATAAAAATTAGATGAATATACACGCAAATATAAAATATATTCAAAATATATTCAAGTTACATTGTGCAAAACAATACGATATTCGGTTAATTAACTTCCCAACCCTGAAAGTAGATAAGTATTTTACATTGTCCGACTCTATATTTTTTATAGTCTATGGTCAATAAACAAATATTCTACTTTAATCAAGGAAAGAATTAAATTTAATTATTGTAATCCATAATATTTAAAATTGGAGCAATGAATCATTAATTTAAAAGTGACGAATAAATAGAAATATTGAAAATAAACAAGTGTTTGTCGTTAGTTTTGATAAAAAATAAAGGAAATACTTCAAACAAAAATCTCTCTTATGTACAAAAAATAAGACGAATAAGAAAGTTCTGATGAGAAAAATGTCATCCAATTTTTCTCAACGCCTTTTATTGAATTTGTTTTTATGGTCAAATATATAGAATACTTAAAGTTACGATTATTCTGCATTAAATTCGTCTAGACAATGTAATTATAAGTATTAATCATTGCTTAGAAACTATAAATGGATTTCGTGAACCCTATGGTTCACGATAATCGAAAATCGATAATCGAAAATTAAACAAATGTTACATAATTAGAAAAATAATCATTGCAAACTTCATCTATAATTAATTAATTATAGATAATTATATAATTAATTATATATTAATTAACTAATTACTTTAATAATTGTAAATTAATTACTATTAATTAGTTAAATTATAATTATTTTATTTAGCACAAACTATTTATTGGAAAGTTTTTTATTTTACAAAGCGTTACAGTACTCATTTTACTCGCTTTCTAACTATGAAAATAATTGTATATTTACACTTTGAGTTCTGACTCTAAATTACTATTTAGTCTATGGACAATAAAACACATGATTTTTTTCTCAGAGAGAGAATCTGATTTAATTATTGTAATCCAAAACTCCAAAAGTACTTATGATTAGAGTAATGAATCATTAATTTAGAAGTGACGGTTATTTTAGAATATTACATATGAACAAGTGTTTATCGTCAGTTTTTCTTGAAAAATGCTCTAACTAAATATCTCATTTATATTATTAATGAATTTATTCAGAAGCTTTATTTTGCAAAACGTGACAATATTTATTTTACTTACTTCCCAACCCTGAAAATTGATGCGTTTTTTACACTATGAATTCTGACTCTATATTTCTTTGTTTATGGTCATTATAACGACAATGTTGCTTTTCTCAGCTGGAGAATAAGATTCAGTTATTCTAATCCAAAAGTATTTAGCATTAGAGTAAAGAATCGTTAATTTAGAAGTGACGGTTAATTTAGAATATTAAATATAAACCAGTGTTTATCGACAGTTTTTCTTCGAATAAAGAAAATTTTGATCTTAAAGCTCAAGACAGTTTTCTATTTAAAAAGTAGATTTTATTCAATATCATAGTGGTTTTATTCAGTGTAAATTGTTGGAAAATGTTGATCGTTTATTTATCTTGTGTTGTTCTTATTTATTCAATTGTTATTAATAATGGATTATTAAGCCATCAGACCAAAGAAAACATCAACCATCTTTTAATTAATAATTGTATCTTTCCTCTTGTTTCTAACTCCAAACTCTTTTCAAAGTTTGGTTATACTTTAATTCCTTCGACTTTTAATATAAAACACTTTATTTATTGACTCCCTGAAGAGGAAATCGTATTGATTTCGAAACGTGGGAGAATTTTATATTAAAAACAATTCATTAATTTTATTACCAACTGTTTTAATAATCTTATTTTTAATTAACATGGGTACTAATTGTAGATTTGAACTTTAAACTCGTTTTTCTCTAAATTAGTAGAATTTCTTTTTCTAAATTAATTTAGTGCCATATTAATTTAATTCTAAATTAATTTAGGGCCATATTAATTTAATTCTAAATTAGGTTTTTGACACTTCTAATTTTGAATCTCTTTAACTTCGCTATAATAATTAAATGTGATCCGCTTCGATGAAAGGTCCTTAAGAAGCAGGGACCAAATTAATTTTTCCAAATTAAATATTTTCTATAAAAATTATTCCAATTCCTCAAATAAATAATTAATAAAATAATTATAAAATATTATTTTTGATAAACTTTAAGCAGTGAAAAGGAAAAATTCTCGCCTTTAACAATGTTTAGTTCGCGAATAACGATTCTTTGAAGAAATTCAAAAGAAAAAAAGCGGTGATAAGATATTCCTTTGTTTCCCGGAAGTCAATACAATACGTGTTGATCGAGTGCACGTGTACCGGTCCGGTTGAGTGCGAAATTTATCCCTAAGGGTCCACTGACCTGAAGACATCAGAATCCGCTTTCCAATATTCAGCTCTCGGGATGTAGGAAAACAATTTCTTTAAAACGAAAACCTTGAACTTGACCACCAACGATGAATATCTTTTTTTTTAAAAAGACCCTTGAAAACACACTTTCAAGATAAGGGCATACCATTGAAAATGTATTTCTGTTTCCTGTTTTTTTTACGAAATCTTTTTCTCTTATGAGAATATTGTTTCTAAGACTGTACAGCAAATAAAAAAATAATTTCCTTCTGTTTACTTTATTTTTGAGAGGCACTTAAAGAAGTTATAATTTTTTTCAAGATAAATTTATATCTTAAGAAATTAAAAAAAAATATCGCCTGTTGGTGTTCCGGGAAACAAAAACGTCACGATAAACAAATGAGTGGAATTCGCGCGCGCCACAAAACGACGAAGAAATAACAAAGCAAACCTAACCTATAGAAAGAAGAAAAAAGAAATGCATGCAGATTTAATTTAATCAGAGGAAAACTCACCGAGATCTTCGACGAGACGAAGCATGACACCCCCGATGTGAAGTTCGCCCTTGACACGAAGGCTCCTCTCGACCTGCAGGTCCGTGACGTAAACTCGCAGCACCCAGCTGCCATCCACCTCAAGTCCATCGGAATAATACATCCTTCCGTTTTATTTTAATTATTTTTACCCTCTACTGAGTCACCACCAAAATAAACAATCTCCTCACTTCCGCTTTTTAATAACTTTCGAAAACTTTTAAAAAAAAACATAAAAAAAAGTCTCCCCTCAAGTATAATTTAACGAACTCGTAACATTTTTCACCGGCACTTTTTCGCGCCCTTTTTTTTGCGAAAAGAGAAGTCAATTTTTATTCTCAACCAATTGGTTTTAAATAAATAAAACGTTACATGGAGAAATTTTATTTGCCGAGGGTTTAATGTACCGTTCTTACAATGTCTCACGAATATAAAATGTTTACCTTACGGTTGCGGCACGAATACTGAAATCAACACTGAAATACTTTGGAGTTCGGCGCCGTTCACGAGTTTCGTAAGTCATCGGCTTTTCTCGGCTAAACGCGGCTTTTACACTCTTAGGTGCGTGACAAGTGATCAATTCCCCCCCGACAGTCGATAAGGTAGAACTTTATTTAAAATTTCAATTCTAATAATTAGATCGCAACAAAATTGTATCAAAAATTCTATAATTTTATACGGTAATTGTAAAAAATTAATTCTTAAGAAAAAGAACATTTTTTCCTTCTATTTTTAAATTTTTACTATAGTCGATAAAACAGATCAAGTAAAATATTTAAAATATTAAGCAAATTATTAACTCCTATGATTATAAAATTGAATGATATTTTTCGAAGTTGCAAAATTGTACACCTAAAGTTAATTAAATTGTTTGAAAAAATAATTATTTTCTATGTTGACTTTAAAAATTTGCAAAAATTATTTTTTTAACACTAATTACGGCCCTGAATTTCGCTCAGAATAGAAATCATTTCTTTTTCCTCTTTCAACTTGTTTGTTTCGGCTTCTCTCCCTCTTACCTAAGCGAAATGAACATATGAACGAATCTCCCCTCTTGTGAATTGTTTCGAAAAAAACAATAAAAATTCTAAAATCATCTTAATTACGTCATTGATGTTTAATTTTCTTTTTATAGCCGATAAAATACTATAAATAACATTATCCCACATTTTAAGATTTTTAAAAATATTTTTTTAAAAAATAATGCCAAATAATTCAATTAACATAAAATTATAATAATAAACAAATAATAATAACAGATCAATTTTAATTATTGTATAAATCTTTATAAACAATAATTAATTATTTCCGGACGAAGGTTTTTTTAAAATTTATTTTCATTTATTCGCTTTACTTATCTTTATTATTTTAAATTTTTGCTTTTATATATTAACAAACAATGAAAAAATTTAAAACTTTTTAATTATAAATGTATAATTGTTCATAATCTTTTATTCTTTTCCATCAAATTTAAAATTTTTAATTATTTTTTAAATAATAAATAAAAGTAAAGAATAAATTAAAATAAATTTTACAAAAATCCACGTCTGGGAATAAATTATTAATTAATTTATAAGATGGTTTTTTTATTTTTTTAAAAATCATCATAATGGTATAGTAGGACGTTTTATTATCACCTGAATTGCAACGACTACTTTACCATCGCGTGGCAGTTAATAGTTCCATAATTCACCATTTTTAACGTACGACATGCAGATTGCAGAATAAGTTATTTTTTATTAATAAATGAAACTAGTCTTTAAGTTTGGTCTTTTGTAGTCTATTCTTCATGGGAAAGATATCCGAATATTTAAGAAGGTGTCAACAGATTACGATTAATTGTGGGGAGGATTCGATGATACTTTGACTAAATTTTAGTTTTCTTTGATTTCAGATAATTTCCCGCTGAGTTAAGTGAAAAAAAAACATTGTCGAATTCACAGACTACCGACGACTTGTTTGACGATATTTTCGCATAAAAAAATTACAGAATTTCCTTACTATGAAACGAGTAGATATGCAAATTAAGTAAAGTAAGAAATTCTTATAATGAATTTGTTGGATAAACAAATAAATAAATAGCGTTACCTGGATAAAGACAAACTTATGTTATTTTCACTGGAAAGAAGGAGAAAGCAATAGCGTTACCTAGAGAAAAACAATCTTATATTAATTTCATTAGAAAAAGGAAATAACAATAGCGTTACCTGAACAGAGAACAACCTATATTATTTATTTAGAATAGAGAAAGACAGTAAAGCATTACTTAAGCATCGGGGTCCATTAGAAATTATTTGGAATAAAATAAAATTTTAGGGTTATGTCGATTCATAAATCTAATATGAGGGAATAAAATAAAGACATCATAGAAGTAAATAAGATTAAATTCATTCAATTGTTATTAAAAAGAGGTTATTTTGATTGGGGACGGAAATTTTTTAATTAGTTGTTATGCTACTGTAATTACCAACTGCTAATGTAGAATTCCGAGAATTTAACAATTAACATCAAAGTTCTCCGATTTTGCACCCCAGCGCTGGTTGTATAATACGAAATGAAAATTGCAAGAAGACTAGAGACAGGAGGAGCAACTTCGATATATTCCTGTAGAGTGCGGTGGCAGAAAATGTGAGGGCAATGGAGGTGGTACTTGAAAATGTAGTTCGTGCAATAGGCCAAAATTAGGTTTCTGCGCATATTGAACATTCAAACGATTCAGATTCAAACACGCGCTAAAAGAAATCTTTTTCCACGTGCTGCACATTGTCATTGTGTGATATTGTGTTTACCGCAAAGTTTTTATGAAAACAATTTAAGTTGTTTTTAATTACCTACTACGTATTACAACTAATTTTCCAAGGTTATTTTTTAAAGTTATGAAATAAACGTCCACCTTCTATCAATATAATATGAATACAAACTAAGGTTTTTTTTGAGGTTATGAAATAAACATCCAACTTTTATCAATACAATTATTAATAATTTCTAATATTTTTTCGACATTAGTTTGGGATTGCAATTTATCAAATTTCTTTCAGTTTACTACCTTATTATGACGATGAATTTCAAAGTCAAAGAATCATAATCGTTAAAATAACCTCTTCATAATATAATATATGACATTTCTATGTTTTGACGTCTGCTATTCTCTCTCATCTCTTTCCACTACTTGCGCAGTAACCTATTTTGCGTTTCTGCACCAACTACATTTCTATATTACTACTTCCCCCATTGTCCTCATCTACCAAGCCATCCCCACTACCCGAGTTATCCCTCCTGTCTCTAGTCTTCTTGGAAAATTGACAAAATAAAACTAATTTATACAAGAAAATAACGGAAATAGCAAAACGTAACAAATACGATGTTTCAAATAAAGTTTAAATGACCCAATTTTACAATTCATTTAACTAAAGGCAAAAAAAATTATGTAAGTATATAAAATTTTGTATTGATAATTTTAAAACTAAAATTTTCGTAGCTTAAAGTGAGGTTATGTTTTTAGAAATGTTATTTAAAAACGTTAAAAAGAACTTGATAATATCAAGTAATCAGTTATTTTACAATTTTCTTTTTAGAATTAAAAAAAATTCTTGAATAATTATTTCATTTTTGATTTTTTAAAAACTGTTTTCATGATAAAAATAAAATTCTACTTTATAAGTTTTAGGTCGTGATGTCAATTACTTTTGTTTCGAATTAAATTCACAAATTAGTTAAAAGCCTAAAAAATGGAAATTCATGAAAATCTATTCAGAATTTTGGGTGAAATATTAATCAACATTGAAGAATGGAAACTTTTTATTTGAAACTATCATTTTTTATGAATAAAAAATAATTTTATAGTAAAATTTACAATTTTTTAAATTTGTAATTCTTAAAATTTTTAATTTATAAAATTCGTAATTAAAATTTAAAAAAATGAAAATTTAATATTAATTTTAACTTCAAAAATTTTTAATTTCTTGTTATTTTTTATAATATAAAAATAATTAGTTACTTCCAAAGTATATTTAACTTAATTGCAGTTAAAAATCTCATCACAACTCTGGATTTTGATTAAAAAAAAAAAAAAAAGCCAAGTCCACCTCGGAAAATGCAACAAATCTTTGGAAAGCCACTCATTACATTACGCCGATTGTTTATCAATAATTCTCAAATTTTACGCTATTCACACAATGAAAAATATCTCGAGCAATTATCAAATCGTTCACTTCTCCTCGTCAATGGTCCAGATTCATCAAATCTTCTTCAAGGCCTCATTACAAATGACATGCAACATTTTCACAATGGTGCCGCAAATATTCACACACTTTTTTTAAATATCAAAGGACGAGTACTTTACGATACAATAATTTATAAACAACCCGAAAATAATGATTCATTTTATATTGAATGTGATCGTCGAATTCACGAGCAATTAAAACGTCATTTAAATATGTATCGTCTTCGAAGAAAAGTCGAAATTCAAACCCTTGAGAATAAAATGAAACTATGGACACTATTTAATTTTAATTTAACCGAAAAAACAATGAATGAAAAATCAAAATTTGATGGACGTATTTTCCCCTGTGGTGATAATGATAAAAATAATACATCAAGTAAGAGAATTGATAAAATTATTATTTACGAAGATCCAAGATTGATGAATTTAGGTTTGAGGATAATAACCGAATTTGATGTTGAAAGAAATGATATTATTAAATATTTGGAATCGGAAATATCGTCGTCTAATGAGGGAATTTGTAATTATAGAGAATTTCGTTATAAATTAGGAATTGCTGAAGGTATCGATGATTTACCACCGGGAAAAACATTACCATTGGATATTAATGGTGATTATTTGCATGGAATTAGTTTTCATAAAGGTTGTTACATTGGTCAGGAATTAACAGCGCGTACACATCATATTGGAATTGTGAGAAAACGATTAATGCCAATAATATTCGATGAATTACCAAAGAAAGCATTTAATTGCGATGAGACAATTTTAAATGAAACGGGAAAATCGGTGGGTAAATTTCTTGGTAATGTCAATAAATATGGATTGGGTTTAGTGAGAATAACTGAGGCATTAAATTCTCAATTACTCGAAATTTCAGGCTTAAAAGTCAATGTTTTTAAACCATTCTGGTGGCCGCAGGAGGCACAAAAACAAGAAGTCACTGCAAAGAGCAAATAAATTTCCTTTTTCAAACACAAAAAATTCTGAACAGATTTTCAAGAATTAAAAATCTATTTTTCCCTTTTAAAAAAAGAAAATTATTTACAGAAAATGGAGGAAGTTCCGTCAACATCGAGAGAAATTTCCAGATCGAAATATATGGAGAGAGCGGAGGAGAAAAATGAGAGAAGAGAGAGAAAAGAAGAGAAAAAAGAAGAAAGATTAACAGAGAGAAAAGAAGAAAGATTAAAAGAGAAAAAAGAAGAGAAATCATCAACTAAAGACGAAAATGAAAAAGAGAAGAAGAAATTATTTTCAAAACGTGAAGAACGAGAAACGTTTGTTTGTTGTTTTTGTAAATTAAGTGAAAAATTCGATTATAAAGGGAGGCAACCACCATTTCAGAGGCATCTTATTTATCAAGAGGATTGTTATATTATGAGAGATCCATTTTCGCCTTTAAATCAAAAAGAGGCATTAATTTTAGGTGGTGATTGTTGTTTGTGTAAAAAATCCACTTGCATGGATTGCAGTATATTTTATACAAAACGTTTCTGTAAAATTTGCGCACTCAATAATATTCATGATTTACCATTACAATTGCACAAGAAAATTAAACAATTTTCTCTTAATAATGAAAAAGATGAAAATACTTCCATATAGCGAATTAATTTTTGTATTTATTAATAAAAAAAAAATGTAAATAAAAAATATTTATAAAACAAAAAAAAAACTGGTTTTCTTTTTTTATGTGTTCCAAAAAATAAAGTATCCACAGTTGTTAATGCCTTCAATTCCTTTCATAACAGATTACAGTTCACTCATGAATCAGAATGTAATAATGAAATAAATTTTCTCAATACGATTATACGATCAGAAAACAATAACATCATGACTGATTGCTACAGAAAAGATACTTATTCAGAAAGACTACTAAACTATTACTCAAATCATCCAATACAACAAAAAATTGCAATTATTAAAAATCTTGTTGATACTGTTTTGATACTTTCCGATAAAAAATTCCATAATAAAAACATAAATTTAGTTAACCTAGATTTAAAACTTAATAATTATTCTGAACAATTTGTTAATAATCATGTGATAAAAAGAATTATTGAAATTAATAACAGAAAATCTTCAAATAACATTAATGACAACAATAGTAATAATAATACGTTAGTTAAGAAAATAGTTTTTCCTTATTATGGACCAATATCGGAAAATATGAAAAGATTACTTAAAGCTTTTAACGTCCAAACAGTTTTTAGTGTCAATTCAAAATTTAATAAATTCATTAAGCTTGGTAAGGATATAGACTCGAGAGACACAATAATTTTAATTTTAATTTTTTAAGAACAAAAATGTTTATAAATTCAATTTGTCAATTAGAATTTTTAATTGAAAATAAAATTGAGAATATTTAAAGATTTTTTTTTATTTCTGAATTAAAATTTTTAAAATAAAAATCCAATTTGTTTTTTAGAAATACAGGAATTTTGAATATTTTTTGAAAATAATTGTTTAGATGAATGCAAAGCCTGCAATTACTGTTTTTTTTAAACAAAATTCCAAGTTCTTTTAGAAATAAAAGAAACAAAAATATTTATAAATTCATTTTTAATTTGTACTAAAGAAATTCTTTAAAAATCAAATTAATTTTTCCTTATATAAAAAGTTATTCACGCTAAAAATATTGTTTAATAAAACAATAGGCATGTATGATAATAAAAGAATTTTATTGATCATTGCTACGAAATTATAATGTGAATGAAAAAAATATATAATGAAACTAGTCTTGAAGTAATTTAAAAACTAGAAGAAAAACAAAAATTTTAAGTCTGACATTTACAATGCCAAGAAAAAAAATACACAACAACGATTGTAATCGACAATCTTTCAAATATGTACAAAGCGCACAAACATTCATACAATTGAAACTAAACTTGAAAAATTACGTGCTTTTTTTTGCTATCAGTCAAATCATACAAAAAAATTGTTCTTTTTTTTGTTTCTAAAAATAGAGGGAAAAAAAAATGTTTTAAAAAATTAAAGAACAAAATAAAAAACAATTTTACGTCTCTTTCTTCTTATTTTTAGACATCAATTTTTCAGCCATAACCTTCTTCTTCTTTTCGGTTTTATTCAATTTTTGCTTCTTCTTCTTTTCGGCTTTTTGACCTTGAAAATTTGTTGCTTGCTGCTTCTCGAATACTTTCTCTTTTTTAGCGACAAATGTTTCTTTGACTTTTGGCTTTTGAGGTGAGACGGATTCCTCCTTTTGTTTTTGCTTCTTCGTTGTTTCTTTTTTCATGAACTTTGGTTTCTGTGGACTTACAGATTCTTCCTTTTTCATTGTCTTTTGCTTTGTTGCCGTCTTGTTTTTGTTGAATTTTGGCTTTTGAGGAGAGACAGATTCTTCTTTTGTAGCACGTTGCACTGAACCCTGTGAGCGTTTTCGCATTTTTCCTTTTTTCGCATTGCTTTTCTGGAAAAAAATAGAAACACAAAAGGATTATAATAAAGTCTTTAAAAAAGATTATTTGTTAATAAAGGGAAAGTTATTTAAGAAGAATTTTAATTTTACTTACGACATTGACGGAATTTTCGTCATTTTCTTTAAGTTTTTTTGGAGATTGCGATTTGTCGAAACTGGTGGAGTGAGAACGTTTTCTTCCCGTTCGTGTTCGTTTTGTCGTCTCTATACATGGAGTAACACGAATTTCACGATTCTTTATTGTCGAATTGTGTAATTCTAATGCAAGGGCAACTGCGTCTTCAGTGGTGAAATTAACGTAACCAATTCCACGATTTAAACCAGTTTTTCGATCCTTAACAATTCGAACTGATTCGATTTGTCCGCAATTCTTGAAGTGATTCCAAATTGCATTTTCAGGGCATTCTAAAAACAGAAAATTAGATAAAGTACTTTTTTTCAAGTTTTCCAGGTTTTTAAAACGAAAATTATTCGAAAATATCAATAACTTTATTTTTAAATAAATATTTAATCATTATTTTTTTTATAGAAATTAAGATATAATTTGAAATTCAATAACATAAGAATATTATTATAAAACATGAAGATATCGATCACTCCGAGTCTTTGACCCGGAGTGATCGCTTTCTTTATGTTTTATAAAAATTAAAACTTGCTACTTTGTTACTGTAATTTCTTCAAAAATTATTTTCATCATTACGATTATTCATTTCTAGAACTTTCAACTAAAATTCTTTTCTTCTTTAAGTCAATTTTCAAAAATAATTTTTGAAAAAGTTCTTTGTGAATTTTCAAATTCTTCCGTTTATAATTAAATTTTACGAAATTTCGATTATTCTGACGTTCTTCAATTAAATATAGATTAAAAATTAAAAACTTCAAATAATTAAAAAAAAATTCCATTAAACTAATTAATAATTGAAATTAAACATTTAATTATTAAATTTTATTAAAATTTTTATAAAATAATTAAATGCTTTTCAGAATTTTATTACAATTTTCTAAAATAATTTAATTCATTCAAGGAATTTTATTTATTTATTTATTTAAGTAGTAAATTTTATAAAAATATAGAATCTTTTAAAGAATTTCTTTGAAAATAATTGAAATTCTTTAAAAAAATCAATTATTTATGCAAAAAATTGAATTCTTGACAAGAATTTATTTCAAATTTTTAAAAATAATTGAAATCCTCCGAAGAATTTTATTATTTATAAAAATAACTGAATTCTTCCAAAGAATTGTATTCAAATTTTTGAAAATATGTATAAACAATAATAATATAATTAATTTTGTACTTAATAAGTGAATTTTTAAACAAATTTTAATAAAATTTTTAAGAATAATTGCATTTTTCGAGAAATTTGATGAAAATTGTAATTAAAAATAATTGAAATTCTTACTAAGAATTTTATTAAAAAATCTGAAAATAATTGGATTTTGGAAAAGAATTTTATTATTTATAAAGGTAATTGAAATTTTGACGAGAATTTTTGTAAATTTTTAAACATAATTTGATTTCTGCGAAGAATTTTATTAATTTTGAAAATAATTGAATTTTTAAGAATAATAACTTTTTTCGAGGAATTCCATTAAAATTGTATTAAAAATAATTGAAATTCAACGAGTTATATTATTTATGAAAATAATTGAATCCCTGTAAAAAATGTTACTATTTATGAAAATAATTTGTAAATAATTGAATTCCTGTGAAATTTTTATTATTTATCAAAATAATTAAATGTTTTGAAAACAATTAAAATTTTGCCAAGAATTTTATTAAAATTTTTGAAAATAATTGAATTTCTGAAAAGAATTTTACTACTTTTGAAAATAATTGAATTTCTGCAATCATTTTTAATTGCTTCAAAATTCAATTTTTCTTTGTATTTTTAACTGAAATTCTTCTATAAATCCATTAATTTTAATAAAACTAGTTAAATTTATAATAAAAAATTTAATTAATTTCAGAACAATTTCAGTTTTTAAAATTTTTTTTATATTTTTAATTAAATTCGTTTAAAATTGAAATTCTACAAAATTTTAAATGAAAATCTTTTAAAGTTTATCTACTTATAAAAATTGTAGACGCAATTCTTTTAAAACTGAATTAAATTTTGAAATATTTAAGTGAAATTAGATTTCAAGAATAAATACAATATCTTTAGAAAATAATTTTCCAGGATTTTGATGAAAATTTCCTGACTTTTCCAGGATTTTTCCAAGGTTTATTAAATTTCCTGACCTGCAATTCAAAAAAATTAATTTTTTATTATTTAGTGATTCTGATAGAAAAAATTATCTCTATCAGAAGAACTAATCAGAAAAAAATTGATTTTTTCGAACCGTAGGTTACGTATTATAATTTGTTTTTTATCTCACCGAAAGGCAAATTTCCCAGGAATACTGATTTCTTGATATCGTAAGTTTTCTCCGAAACAGTGTCGACTCGTAAAATATTCTCCTCATATTTTTGTCCATTCATAACGAGCGCTTTCAGTGCCGATTCTTTATTGCAATAAGTAATGTAGATGAAGACAGTGGTTATTTTCGGATGGATTTTTTTCTTGATTGCCGCAACTTTGAATGGCATTTTTGGATTTTCAGGAACAATGCCACGAACTCGAATGCTTTCAATTTTGCCGAATTTTTTGAAAACTTGGGCAAGTTGTTTTTTGTTGGTAGTTTTTGGTACGTTACCGACGTAAATTGTTCGGGCATTTTTAGCCTCTTTCTCGGCGGGCGACGATTGCGAGTCAGTCGATTCATCGAGACTTATATCGGCTTTCTTTTTTTTAGGACTCTCATCATCATCATCATCGTCGTCGTCGTCGCTCAAACCCTCGTCATCGGATTCATCCTCGAAATCTTCATCGTCCTCGTCTTCCTCCATTTTCGATGTTTCAAAATCGTTATCGTCGTCATCGTCTTTTAAACTTTCGCCTAAAAGATCTTTTATTGTGGGAACACCTTCTTCTTCGGAATCATCTTCCGAATCTTCTTCGGAATTATCGTCTTCGTCATCATCATCTTCTGTTTTTGCACTTCTGGTTTTTACTTTCTCGGTTCTTGGCGCCTCATCATCATCGTCACTGTCCTCGAAATCCACATCGTCATCCTCGTCCTTTAGACTTTCACCTAAAAGATCTTTAACGCTGAGGGCGAATTCTTCTTCTGATTCGTCGTCGTCTGAATCATCGTCTGAATCATCAGATTCATCCTCATCGTCACTTTCTTGTGAGATTAACATGGAATTTGAAGTGTCCATCGTTTCGTCATCACTATCGTCGTCGTCATCATCCTCTGCGTCCAAGTCATCATCATCCTCGTCGTCGTCGTCATCGTCATCATCGTCGGAGTCTTCGATTCCCTTGAACATTTTAACACCCTTGTATTCAGCTTGTTCGTCACTGTCCTCAAAATCATCGTCATCCTCCTCTGAATCATCGTTGAGACTTTTACTGAAAATATCCGGAACATCATTTTCCGAATCGTCATCATCGTCATCACTCACTGAATCAGAATCATCCGAATTCTCGTTTAATAAAACACCTTCATTAAAACTATCATCAGACTTCTCCTTTTCAATTTCAAGTTCAAGTTTTTTCTTCGAATTCATTTTTTTGGGACTTGCTTTTTTCTCCTCAACTTTTGTCTCCAATTCCTTTTGCGCTGATTTTAGTGATTTTTCTTTTTGCAATGATTTTAATTGCTTAGGCGATGATTTTAAATTATCAACTTTTTCGGGTGACTTATTTTTTTGTTGTGATTTATTTAATTTTTGTGATGATTTCCTTGTTGACGCTTGATTTTTCGGTGTGGCAATATTTTTTGGTGTTAATGGAACTTGAGTTGGTGAGACGACGACATCTTTTTTTGGTGATAATTCCTGTTGTTGTTTTTTAGGTGAATTTTTTTGCGACAACTCTTGCTTTTTTGGTGAGAGTGGAGAATTTTTTTGTGATAATTTCGGCGTTGAATTTCCATTTGTTTCTAAATGTAAATTATTTCCCTTTGGAGTTTTTTGATTTTTATTTGGAGTCTTTCCATTTTGAACGATGGCAACTTTTCCGGTTGGTGTGTTTTTAAATTTTGGCGTTCTATTCTTGTGTATGCCACCGTGTTGCTTGAGATTTGGCGTTGAAACCGCACTCTTTGGAGTTCCAGCAACTTTTGTCATTGTTTCTCCAGTTGTTTTTGCTTCACCCTACGAAAAATTAAAAATATTTCATTAAAATTGTTTGAAAAAAAATTATTACAAGAAAAATGTTTAATTAATTTTTTTTTAATATTTTAAATAAAAAATTGTCTTTTTTTGTTAGTTAGAAAAATTTCTAGTTATGCTTGAAGAAAAAATTTTTACTTTTCGCTAACTTTGGGAAAATTTTAGTATTTTGAAACTTAAAAATCTTTTTACATTATTTCTCAGTTTTTAGAATGATAAATTTTTTCATAAAAGGTAACAATTATAGAAAATAACTTTTACTTCTAAGAAAAATCAAAACTGTTTGGAATTTTTGACAAATTGTAATAATTTCATAATAAATTTTACTAAATTAAAAATATATTTTAATATTAATAACTTTCAATAAAATTTACTCTGAAAATAACGATTTTTAATAGCAAAATTTACTATTTTCAATGTAATTTTTTTTTTTTATAAAAATTATTCAAATTTTCCTCGAATATTACAATTCGCCATTAAATATTTTTATTTTTAGAGTAAATTTTACTACTTTTAAAATAAATTTTTCTAAAAAAAATTGTCTTTGAAAATAGTAAAAGTCATTCTGGAAATAACAATTTTTAATATTAAATTTTACTATTTTTGAATTAACTTTTTCCAAGAACCAAGTTAATTTTAATAATTTTTTTTAATTAACAGCAAAAGTTTAACAAAAAAAGAAAAAATTTGATTTAAAAAAAAGAAGTTAAAAGAAAAGGTAAAAAAAATCTTTAAAATAAATTTTATTTTTTGTTAATTTAAAAATTCCCCTTTTTGGAAAATAAAATCCCCTTTTTTTTTACCTAATATTACATGAAAAAATTACAGTGATCCCTGAAATAGAAAAAAGTTGACAACAATTTTTAATTAACTTTATTTTATAACAAAAAAAAATTTCTTTTTAATTTTAATTTTATTTAATTAAATACCAAATTAAATTATCAATTAATTTTGTAACTTAATTGCAAAATAATTTACACATTTATTTCACTATAAATTTCATAAAACAATTAAAATTTTTCAACTTTCGTACTAAATATTTTTACTACACAAAAATTTATTGTGTATTTTTTTTATTAATTAAATAAATTTTATTATTTTTAAATCCTTTCTTTCTCATAAAAATTCTCTTGAAATTTCACGTACAATTATTTCAACTCTTTAAAAACCTTAATTTGAGGTTATTTACGTTTCAGTTTACTTTTCAAAAAATTAAATCGATAAATTTCAAAAATTTGTAAAATAAAAATAAAATTTTCCTTTTTCCCAAGTTTGGAAGTATTTTCAGTTTCCTGAGATAAGAAATTGAAAGAAAGAACAGTATTTTTTTCTCTTTTGCTTATGGTGCCTGCGAATAAATGTGGAAACTAACCTTAAAATATTTCGATATAATTTACTTTTAAATTTTAACAATGAAATTGTTATATTAAAATTAAATTTTACGACAATAAAAAAAATGTACAAAATAATTTTTATAGTATTCTCTTTCTCTTATTAGAAATATTCAAAGAATTATAATTTTAACCACGTGCAAAATGAGACAAAAACAAAATTGTCCACTTGAACGACAATTAAAACAATGAAATAATTACATTATCCAGAAAATATAGAAAGAAAATTAAATAGAATTTTTAACTTACCTATTTTTTCACACTCTTGGAATGTTAAATTCAAGGTAAAACTTGGGAAAATCCGAGCAATTTCTAAATGAAAGTAACACCGGCAGAAGAAAAATGTGTTCTGATGGAATGCAACGAAAGCAATGGGAAGCGCGAACAGGAAGTAAGATTGTCGACCATTTTTAAAAGGGAAGTTCATTTGACTTATAAATTACTATTCGGATAATTTAAAATTCAAAAATAAACAAAGTAATAAGTTTTTAAAAATATAAATTAATGTAAAGATTTTTTGTTTAAGTAGTTTATTTTAATGATGAAAAATAGATTTTTTTAAAATTTAGTTTGACTCGATTTGTTTCTTCTGTTGATTTTATCGACCGAGTTTTTCGAATATTACCAACATAACCTTGAAATTAGTGGACTACATGTTATAAAATAACAAATTATTTATAATTTTTTAATTATTTGACTAGTATATGTGTTTTAATCTAAAGTTTTATTGAAGCCAAAGATATTTAATAATATTGTGAGTATTGTTTTAAATTTTTAAATGTTTTCAACATATGTTCTTATTCTTTAGAAAAGTAAACAAAAAGTTGAATTATTTAAAAATTCAATTTCATAAAAAAATTTGAAATAAAGAAACTTCAATTATAATTTGTTTACCTTTGTTAATATTATTATTATTATTATTGGTATATTCCATCACTATTATTATAATATTTATTACCTATTATTAATATTTTTTAACATAATAATTATTATTAATTGAATTTTTAAAAAATTAATAATAAAATTCTAAAATTCATATTAATTGAATAATTTTTATTATTTATTATTAATTACTATTTTATTAATTTTATTTTAAATAATCATTTAAAAAAATATATTTATGCAAAAATAAACATGCAACATTAATAACAATGAAACGTAAATTATTGTTAATTAACTATTTATAACTACTAGTTTTTTATAAAAATATTTTTTTTAATAAATAATTTATTTGAATCATCAGTGAATTGCGAAAAGGGATCAACTCTGAAAATCGTAAGAGTCATTTTCACATAATATTGACTAGCGAAAATGACCCTTACGGTTTGAGCTCTTTTTGAAATTCATGATTTATTTCAATTATTACTTCATTTATTATTTATTCTTAATAAAAATTATTAATTATTTTAGTTATTAATAAAAATATTATTAATAAAATTATTAATAAAAATATTATTAATAAAATTATTAATAAAATTAATTATAATTAATAAAATTATTAATTATTACCTATATAGTAATTAATAATTTATTATTAATTTAATTAATTGATACATTAATTCAATAAATAATATCTAATTGAATAATTTAATAAATAATTTTTTCTTTTGTTTAAAAAAAATAAGGGAAAATTTTGCTCTTTGGTTCACAGAAAATTATGAAATTTTTAAAAAGAAAATCGCGCACAGTGTGCTAGTAATTTTCTCTAACTAATTTTCCCCAAATACCATCTGAATACTGACTTCAATTTAAGTTAAGCCATTTTAACTTGAAAATTAAACCACTATGCAGTTTGAATTCATTTTCGTATGAGATTTTCATATTTAAATATATGTACTTTTCGCACACATATATGTGAGGGAATATTAACATTCAAAATGGATTGTCACCTTTAGAAATTTTGTAATAAATTCGTTTTAAATCTAGAAATCTGTGAATTTAAATAAGAGTCAAAATTTAATATACATATACTAACTCAATTTGAAAATGGAGAATTTATTATAGCATAGGGAAATTCGTAAGTTATGTGAAAAGACAAACATATTTTTTGCGAAGAATTTAAATAGAAATTTAAATAAAATTTCAGTAATGAGACCTAGACATTCTGGTCAAATAATATATCTTCAGCTATAAAAATTTGTTTAAACTTCAACATACTAAAAACTTAATAAGAATTCCCAAATAGCACGTAACCTTATGGTAAGCTTACTGTAACCTTGGTATACTTTACTAATATTTTTTTCTGGTCCCAAACTATTGCTAGAACAAATTCCAATTAATTTTTACTCATCAAAATTAATTTAATTTACAATTCATAAAAAGTAACCACAGCCGATAATCAGCAGAAGATGAAAAATAATTGTTTGAGCAAACTTTATCAGCTGTTTACTAATAGTTGTTAGTAAAAATATTTTTTGCTGGTCCCAAACTATTGCTACAATTTTCTATATTTTAGATTGCTTTGCTAACTTTGCATATAATTTAATATTTGTGCCTTGAAAATATTACTTAATGTCAGTTTTGTACACCTGCAACTTCAGTTTTCCTTTAGGCAAAATTCAATTTACAGGCAGCCCCCTACTTTTGAGAAAATGACTTTATTATAATAGAGTTCTGAGTAGTTTTGAAAGAATTCTAGAGTTTTCTACACTTTATTTAAATAGTTCTGATCATACAAAGCCGAAACAAATAAAACATTGAAGAAACGAAAATTTATTAAAATTTGTTAAAATATGATACGTTAGAAGAGTTCTGATGCCAGTTTTGTAAGCCTCTATACTCTAGTTATTTAATCAACAATAATAATACTATCTTCTAACCTACTGCTCCTTATTAAAATATAATTCGTAAAATTATTCTTTAGGTTGTTGGCGAAATGGGTGAAGCAGAACTTTTAAAGTCCTTTCTCACAATTCATCAGCCACAACTTGAATTCTCAGGAGTACCAAAGTATTTCTGGCCAACTGTACACGAGAAATTAATAAATCAAATATTTGATGCAGGAGATGCATTTCAATTGGCTAGAATTAGTTATGAAGATGATAAACACGTTCCTACTGATCCTTTTTGGAAACTATTTATTACATTGGAAGAAGGAATTTTATTTGAAAAACCCAACAATATTTATTTGATTGATCACGCTTGGACTTATCGATTTCCCGATGCAAAGAATGATCTTGTTGAGAATCCTGGACTTTTGGAACGCATGTACAATTTCATGAAACCCGAATGGTCAGAGGCGGAGAATGATAATGAAAAAATTGAATACGTTCTTAAAGAAATGTGGAGATACAATAGTTTTTTTGCTTTTCGAACAAATTCTAATAAAATCGAAGAAGCAATGCCTTTTTGGTGTATTATGGATGAAGTCGGTTCCTCAATAAATCACAGTGACGAACCAAATTTCCGAATTGTTCCATTTTATTACGCACCAGAGAATATGAATTACTCGCTCTTATTTCCTATTAAAAATGTCAAAACAGGCGATGAAGTTACAAGAAATTTTATCGAGGGACAAACAAATGATTTGGATAAAAGTAGAGCACTTCTTCTACCATGGAGAGATGATAGCTTTCTAGAGGAAAATTTCGAACAAACGGAACCTGACGAAAATTACTTTATGAATTCACGTGTTGCCGAAACATTGCCGGAGAAAATTCGCGAAGTCAGTCCTCGTGATAAGCTGAAGGTTTATTCACAGTATTCGATTGTTCGTGAGTTTTTAACGGATTCAGCGTTTGAAATTGTTGATTCAGAGGATGAAGCTGATGTTCTTTGGTTATTAAGTCACATAAAAAATTACAAAGAACTTAGCTTAGAGAAGCCAAATGTTTTTGTGAATCAATTCCCATGCGAATTTATTTTGACGATTAAGGATCTACTGTCCATAGTTTGTAGGAGAAAAGCCGATGGAAAATACGATCCAGAAACATTGGCGACATTTCCAAAGTGGTTGCCAACGACTTATAATCTAAGCACTGAATTAGTTAAGTTCGTGGCATATTTCCAAAATAGAGAAGCGAAACAATTGGAAAATCATTGGATTTGCAAACCTTGGAATTTAGCTAGAGGATTGGATACTTATGTAACTAAGGACCTGTTTCACATTTTGAGATTGCCAGCCACTGGACCGAAAATAGCACAAAAATATATAACCAATCCAGTACTTTTTGAACGTCCAGAAATAGGAAAAGTTAAATTCGATATCAGGTGATTATAAAATTTAATTATATAATCATATCCTCAATAAATATTCCACTTTCAGCATCATTCTTCTAATCCCGTATATATTTACAGATACGTTGTTTTATTGAAATCCGTCAATCCACTGGAGTGTTTTGCATATTCTAATTTCTTTCTACGATTCGCCAATAAATCATTTGCTCTGAATAACTTCCAAGATTACGAGCAGCACTTTACTGTTATGAATTATTCAACAACAACACCTCTATGTCACATTAAATGCGCCGATTTTATTACAATGTGGGAAAAACAATATCCTAATCATCCATGGCCAAAAATAGTTGAACCAATGATTCTCAATGTGTTAAGAGAAGCTTTTGAAGCTGCAACATTAGCGGAACCACCGAAGGGAATTGCAGAAAGCTCCCAAAGTCGTGCTGTTTACGCAGTAGATATGATGTTGGAATGGAGGGAGAATGAAATGCAACCGGTTTTATTAGAATTCAATTTTTCTCCAGATTGCCAAAGAGCTTGTGAGTATTATCCTAATTTTTATAATGACATTTTTCGCTGTTTGTATTTAAATGACTGTAACAAGAATGTTTTCTATGAATTGTAAAAGTTTCATATAATATAAATGTTAAATAGATTTTTATGGAAGAAAGTGTAATTTCTTTTATGCTTATCCTTTTCATGGCAGTATTGGGAACCGCAGAGTTTTAGTTTTTTATTTCGTGAAAATACGTTTTTTTTAAAAAGTTCTAAAATCTAAACCTTCTTAATTACACTTTAATTAATATTCGCTTCTTTTTTACTTTCACTTTTTTCACGTCCAAGTGATATTTGCAAATTAGGATTGTTGCAATTGAAAGGTTTTTTTAAAAAAAGCAAATTTTGCAATAGAAATATATTTATTCTTAAGAATCAGGGAACAATTCCCGTTCCATTTTTTCACAAAAAATTATTTAATAGAATAATTGTAACTTTAGTGACAAAATACAAAATCTGCTACATAATATATTGATATAAATTAATGAATCAGAAAGTATATTAAGGAATTTATCCTTGAGAAGTCTTGTAAATTACTACGATAATAATGTTAGGATTAATAATAATTAATAAAGATTTACAAAATTCTTCTCTGTAATAGAAAATAGGTTACATTGTTATAATTGCTGGTATTCTTCCATATCTGGATTATACCCTGCATCTGTAATTAAATATATGTGAATTACGTATGAATTACATTTGATAACTGAAGTGATAAATTAGTTTAATCTATAAAAATTGTTTCTGAATTTTTTATATTCAACGATTTTCGTGAGAGCTTTTAACCAAAGTAGATAAAATTATATATTTGAAAATTTAATTTTATATACGGTTATTAAAGTTGTCCTTCAAATGACTTTTGATTTCGTGCGCAAAAATATATGACATATTAAAAACATTAAGAATCACCTAAATTTAAAAAAACTTTTTATCAAATTGATAACTGATTACACATATTTTTAATTTTATTCGGTAGAACTGTTATCAGTAGTAAAATAAATAACAAAGTATAATTTTAAATTATATTATGTTTATTAATTACGCATCACGCATGTGATATCAGTTTTACAAAGTTTAAAATGAAGGATCCAAAAAAATGAACAATCTTTTTCTAAGTAATCTGATATTTTAATATTAACAATAAAATTAACCACATCATTGTAATTCTATTGCCATTGACAATATAAAAAACAAATTGGATCCAAATTTTAGTAGCTGTGCTATACTTCTATATCTGGATTATACTCTGCGTCTGTAAAAACAGTAATTTTCTTCTTATTATATTGCATATATATCAAATAAAAAATGGCATCATTTAACAATTCATATTGTTAGATTAAAATACAAAATCAAAAAGTGTAACTCCACTATAATTTAAGAAAGGCTTAGAGCCACTGCAGATTATTTTTTACATGTTGTTAATAAACTACCTGAACTTTGAAAATAACCTTACCCAGTTTTGCATATAGATAAGCCTTATTCAAAACACTTGACATCCATTCACAGCATGTAATCTTAACCCTTTCAATGGTTATAACTTTTTCGTATATTCTCCCACGATACTCAATATTCCATCGATGTATTTTAAATTTAGTATCAGGAAGAATGATATACTGATTTAAAGTTTTATCAATGTTTTGCAAATTAAGAGCCAAGAAAGAGTCACGTGATAAGTTTAATTTATAAATGGTCACAAATGTAGTATTTCTAGATTCATATTCCTCGCGTATATTGCTAAGGAAATGGTTACAAACAATAAATTCATTAAATGTTAAAGTTCCGTTAATGTCAACACTCTCCGAATTTGTTTTCAGCAAACAAAAAATTACTCTATTTATGTTTAATTCAAAAAATGAATCGTACTGACGAAGAGCTAAACTGTACATTGCTTTCTTTATTCTCCAAAGACTGGGAATTGGTAAATTTGTCGTAATATACTCGTTAGTTAGGAAATTTTGTATGGCGTAATAATCATCAAAGCTCACGGTGTCAAATAGATCGTTTTCTAAATATTCATCAAACAACTTTTCTATTGGAAGATTTATTAGGTTAATGTCTTCATGACTGTAAATATTGTGAATACGTTCAATTGCTTGGGCTGGACTCATTGAATTTTCTAAAAATCTATGGAACCTTAATTTTTCGTTCATGTCAGAATCTTGTACTCTGCATTTATAAAAACTTTCATCAGATGCAGAATTTTTAAGTATTATAGCAAAAGTATTCATATCAAAAAATGAATTAAAGTTGTAATTTCGAAAAAGTTCCATTGCGGTAGTCTTATTGTATATATTAGAAAGATACTTATTATACAGTTTATTTCTCTCAAAAACAATTCTACCATAAATTACTCTTCGTTTATGTGGCGGCATTTCAATTCTTGCCATTGCAGGCATCGCAATAAGATTTAAAATACCGGTTATCAGGATCCCTTGATAAAGTGATATGTATTCAATACCGTTGAATGATGTGAGAATATTATGACAATTGTTTAGAATTGTAATCAAAGACATCCAGAAGAGAAATAGGATTTTCATGTTGATATAAACATTCATCTTTGTCAACTAATTCGTAAATTCTAAAATATATTTGAAATAATATTAAATAAAAATAAATTTTAATATGCTTGGGCTAGGTATTAATATAAATAAGTATTTATATTAAATATTATTTTAATTATTTACTAATTCACATACCTTTTAGTAGCAAAAAAGTAGTTTCACTGCGTGGAAGAAAGATATTATGAAATTTTATATTTTATCTGCATTTTTTATCTACATATATACTAAAACAAACATAAATAAAAATGAAAGAATTTTATTACGAACGATATTCGTGACAAATTGCTAATCGAAGCAAATAAAAATATTTTGTTAAAAATTAAACTTTGTATTACCGCCTTTTATATGAAAGTAATGAAAATATTTTTTATCATTGTGTGATTGATAAATTTGTCCTTCAAATGACTTTTTATTTTATTGAAAAAATTGGCGCATATATTGCAAAATTGCTATGTTGTCCTTCAAATGACTTTTGATTTCGCGTAATAAAGTTATCATATTATATTGAAAAATTCAATTGCCGAAATTTAAAAAGCTTTTCTTTAGAAAAACAACAACCCTAAACTACTGATTTTGCAGTGAAAAGTATTAAGTTTGCATAGATTTTGAACAAACGGTAGTTTTTTTTAAAACTTAAATATTTAAAAATATTAGTGGTAAATTTATTTTTAGTCAGACCAAGTATTTTTTATGAATTATCTTCAGGAATACAGTATTTAAAGTACAGTTTAGTAAGAAAACACTTTATTGTTAATTATTTTAGAAAATCAAGTAAGTAAAGTTAAGTAAAGTAAGTAAAGTTAAGTATAGTTTAACAAGTCTTTAGTCAGACGGGCATAATTTAAGTCCTTAAAGTTAGTATATCAGTAGAAAATATCATTTCTAGTCAGACAAAATTACTTTTAATCCATTCCATTGGTAAATCAGTAGTTTACATAGGTTATGGTTAGACAGCAAGTTTTTAAATCATTAGAATTTAAAAATACGTACCTTTTAGTAAATATCCTTAAAAAATAGTAGTTCAAGTAAATTTTAGTCAGACAAGAGAAAAATCACCTAAAAAATAGTTACTAACTTATGTTAAATTATTTATGTTCCAATAATTAAAGTAATTTACCATTTAAAAAATAATAAAAATTGTTTTGTAGTCCGAGCCAGTAGTTTAAGTTATTTTTAGTCAGACAAAGCATTGTTCACCCCTTCTCTTTAGGAATTCAGTATTCAAAGTGTATTTTAGTCTGTCAAAATTTTTTAAAATCTTTTTCTTTGTGAAATTAGTAGTTTAAATAGTTTTTAGTCCGATGGGAGTATTTAATGTCCTTAAAATTAGTATATCAGTAGTAAAATGTCATATTTATCAAACAAAGTATTCTGAAACATATGTTCTTAAGAAATCAGTAATTGAAGTAATTTTTAGTCGAATATTGAGATTTTTAACTCTTTTTAGTAAGAAATCAGTAAATAAATAGATTCTGGTCAGACAGTACTTTTTCAATTCCTTAAAACTCTATTATCAATAGTAAAATTCAGTTTTAGAGAGACAAAACTTTTCATAATTTTTTTAAATAGAAAAACCAGTAGTTTAAACAAGTATTTTAGTCAACCCGTATAGTTTTTCAAATCCGGTAAAACATTATTAAATATTTTCTTTGAGGAAATGTCATTTTTCCGAAATGTCATTTTACCGAACTGCACTTTTGCGAATAGTCATTTTTGCGAGAAGCCAATTTTGCGAAATGTCACTTTTGCGAATTGTCATTTTTGCGAAAAGCTATTTTTGCGAATTGTCATTTTTGCGAATAGCCATTTTTACGAATTGTCAATTTTCTGAAAAGTCATTTTTGCGAATCGTCATTTTTACGATTTGTCAATTTTTCGAAAACTCATTTTTGCGAATTGTCATTTTTACGAAAAGACATTTTTGTGAAATGTCATTTTTGCGAAAAGCCATTTTTGCGAAAAGTCATTTTTGCGAAAAGTCATTTTTACGAATTGCCATTTTTGCGAATGGTCATTTTAAAGAAATGACATTTTTGCGAATTGTCACTTTTGCGAATTGCCATTTTTTGCGAATAGCCATTTTTACGAATTGTCATTTTTGCGAATAGTCATTTTTGCGAAAAGTCATTTTTACGAATTGTCATTTTTGCGAAAAGCTATTTTTGCGAATTGTCATTTTTGCAAATCGACATTTTTACGAATTGTCAATTTTCCGAAAAGTCATTTTTGCGAATCGCCATTTTTACAAATTGTCAATTTTCCGAAAAGTCATTTTTGCGAAAAATACAATAGTGAATTTATAGACCTACAAGTTTTCTATTGTATTTTTCGCAAAAATGACAATTCGCCAAAATGACTTTTCGGAAATTTGACAATTCGTAAATATGTCGATTCGCGAAAATGTCGATTTGCAAAAATGACAATTCGCAAAAATAGCTTTTCGCAAAAATGACAATTTGCAAAAATAACAATTCGTAAAAATAACTTTTCGCAAAAATGACTATTCGCAAAAATGCCAATTCGGAAAAAGGCAATTCGTAAAAATGGCGATTCGCAAAAGTGACAATTCGCAAAAATGACATTTCTCAAAAATGACAATTCGCAAAAATGGCAATTCGTAAAAATGGTGATTCGCAAAAGTGACAATTCACAAAAATGACATTTTTCAAAAATGACAATTCGCAAAAATGTCAATTCGCCAAAATGACTTTTCGAAAAAATTACAATTCGTAAAAATGTCGATTCGCAAAAATAACTTTTCGGAAAATTGACAATTCGTAAAAATGTCGATTCGCAAAAATGACAATTCGCAAAAATAGCTTTTCGAAAAAATGACAATTCGCAAAAGTGGCATTTCGCAAAATTGGCTTTTCGCAAAAATGACTATTCGCAAAAGTGCAGTTCGGTAAAATAACATTTCGGAAAAATGACATTTGGGGAATAATCATGCGCCCCAAATTAGTAGTTAAAGTAAATTTTAGTATTTTAGTCAGACAATAAATTATTGAATATTTGTCATGACAAAGTCACTAATTTGAGTAAATTACCTTCGGAAAAAAATAAAATTTGATTTATAGTGAGAAACAGTGGTTTAATTTATTTCTAGTCAGACAGGCTATTTTTTACCATTTGTTTTAAGGAAAATAGTAGTAAAGATTAGTTTTAGTCAGACATCTTTTTTTTTCATTCTTTTCGCTGCAGAATAAGTAGTTTAAATAGATTTTAGTCAGACGGGAGTTTCTTATACTATTAAAATTAGTATATCAGTGGTAAAAATAATTTTCGACTAGACGATAAAGTAGTACGTAATAACCCATCACCTCATCTCTTTTGTCCTTTTTATTTACCAGTGAAATGTATAGAAAAAATTGATAACAAATTTTCGAAAATTTTATTTTTGTCCATAAAAGTGCGAAAAATGAGTCAGTTTCTAAGAAATTAAAAATTTATTAAAAATCAATTAACGTTAATAGTATGGTTTTTAATTTACATTTATTTAGAACCCTTCGTTACTCTCGATATGTTCATCTATTTTTTCAATGTCATAATGTCCTTTAAATTTGTCCAAAAAGCTTTCAGTACCGTTAAATGAAGTAATAATCTTATGAAAATTACTCAGAATTATAATAAAATACATCCAGAAGAAAAACATAATTCCCAGATTCATATTGACATTCATATTGTAGTTGTAAATTCTAAAATAGTTTAATGAAATTTAAAAAAGATATTATGTTGACAGCTTATACTGATGGATGTGAATACTTTGTTGATGGTTCGTTTCACTTATATTAATTTTAAATAGTTATATTACCGTAAATAATAAACATATAATATCCTATAGAATTTCAAAATCAAGGATTGCAACACTTTGAAAAAGCTTGGAGAATATATCTATAGGTTAATAAAATGAATATTAAATAATAGAAATTATGTTATTTAGTAGTTTTTATAATAATTTTAATGATTTTGCTGATCTCAATCAGACAAAATAATTGAATAGATAACAAATACGTATTCATTGGCTAAAAATGGTTAGTTTTGAATATTTTAACATTTAAACTTTACAAAAAAGAATTTAAAAAAATTTTAAATAACTTTAAAACAGTACATCAATTTACATACCTCTAAAGCAGAAGAATTATTATTCCTGTTAAAAGTGTGTATTATTTGCTTCTTGTACATTTACTTGCTTTATAAACCTACCTGCATAATCTACAAATAAATGGTTACTGTATTTTTTATTACCAACTATTTTCGTGACAGATTAAAAAAAGTTAGTAAATAAAAATAGATATATGAAAATTTACTTATATGTGACCATTAAAGTTGTCCTATATTTAAATGACTTTTGATTTCGTGCACAAGAAAACCTATATTAACAAAATTGCAATCTCCTAAAAAAAGAAATTTTTATCAAGTTTATATCTGACTACACATATTTTTAATTTTATTCGGTAGAACTTTTATCAGTAGTAAAATAAATAAGAAATTATTTTAAATTATATTATGTTTATTAATTACGCATGTGACATCAGTTTTACAAAATTCAAAATGAAGCATATCGAATATGATAAACAATATTTTTTGAAGTAATCGGACTCCCTTCCAAGGGGAATAATATATGTAATAATAATTATCTGTTGTGTAGATATGAAATTTTTATGAACAGTGCTATTCATCTGTTTCTCGAATATAATTTTCCGCTGTAAAATATAAAATTTTAATTATAATCTTTCTCTAGTAATAAAATATTGGAAAAATTTGTGAATCTGTAGCAGTTAAAAATTTTAAGAAATATAATAGGAAATAATTAATATTTAATAAAAATGTAAAAAAATATAGTTTAATAAATAAACATTAAATGTTTTGTAATTTTCTTATCTTTTGAATCCAAGAAAGTTTCTTTACTGTGAAGAATATAATTTACAAATTTGCACGTTTATCTGTTTTTCTTATCTGACTACTAAATTTTTTCAAGAAATAAAACAATTTTTTTACATTTTTTATTAAGAAATATTTTCGTGACTATTTTAAAATGAAATAGATTATAATTAACCTTGTTTCAATTGTAAATAGATAATTGGCCAAGGAATTTTACAACACAAAATTCCAGAAGAATTAATATCACTATGGAGATTTGCAAATTGTTTATTTGCATATAAATTAAGATTGAAGATATGAAGTTGCAAAAATGTTCTATAGATAACTGACACACCCCTAACGAAAAACAGGATGAAAATAATAATTCTTGTTAATATTTTCACTATTACCGAAAACTTTCTGTTATGTTCATCAAAAACTGAAGCCTATATTCTTATAAATTAATTAAGTTTAGATAATACACACATTGATTATATTAATAAATTTTTTATGGCCTTCGCAAATAAGAAAGAGGAGCTTTTCATAAAATAATCCACGTGCAGACAATCTTCCGGTGGGCTGATTTCGTTTCTAAACGAGAATACAAGAAGCTTTCATTTATTCAGGAAACGAGGGTAAGGACGCATTTTGCTCGTGATAACGAGGCGAAGTAACACCCGAGGCGGAATCCTATGTTATTTCTGAATACACATACGCATTTAGCAATGTGCTTTCCCCATGCAATGTGTGCCGGTTTCTGGGTTCAAGTTAAATCTACATTCACCCTCTAAATTATGCAAAGAACACATAACTTGACACTACCACGTGGAGACTAAAGTACTTAATGGAATAATAAACGAGGAAGCAATTAGAGTGGTTTTGCGATATACATACACTATTTTCTATCTATATTATACATATATGGCAAAATTGTCTGAATTTTGGTCAACATTGTGATATACAGGATAATTATATGTACAAATGTAAAACATTGGTTCATTTACTGTTCTATGACAAAATTCATGTAGGATTATCTTTCATACTATCTTGAGTTATCTTATTATTACAATCTTCGTTAAGATCATCAAAGGTTTTTATCTGTCGATTACATTTTTCGGATGAGAAAGAAGCATATCGAATGTCTCCATCTCAATATATAGTATTTCGAGGAAGTTAGCAGCGGAAGCACATATTTGTATGTATATCCCGCATATTCAAGAGCACCAGGAAGACGAAAACTATTGTCTGTTTTTGGTCCTGTCCAAACACTATGACAGCTATTTTGGATTCAAAAACTATACCAAAAAGTATTATTCTGACTATGGATCAATTAGTGTTCTGTTTTACCGGTCGCAGGTAATTATCGAACGTTGATAACTAAAATCTGTAATTTAATAATTCACTTGGGGTTCACAGGAAAAACGAAAGCGCTGACACATGACGTCAAGTTGGCTGACAGGTAGGAAATTTATTCTCCTTCTCGTTATAGGGCCATAAATTAGTCCTAATGATTATTAACTTTTGTTTCTATATCCAGATTGGGATAACATTTTTTCTCAAAAATCGTGATTGTTAAGAATGATGCTAGTCACCGCATTATCATGCAGTATTTAAATTCTAAAAATTCAGCCTTTTGCCGAATAAATAAATTTTTCAATTAAAATTAGAATTTAAAGTAAATTAAATTGAATAAAATTAATTGTAATAAATCTAAATTCAGTGTTGCTATGAATAATTAATGTGTTAATCTCTTGTTACGTCACCGTAACCTATTTCCAATAATAATAATATGTAGAATAATAATTAATAATAATAATAATAA